AATGGAGAGGGTGGATTGGTCATAAAAATGACGAGTATCAGTGGATTTATTGATGGTTCACACTGTGCACTTTGCACTGAAATTTGTTGATGATGAAAAGAGCAGTAAGCTGGACGGAGCTGGAGTGGTGAATAAACTTCTGATTTGAAAGCCAATCATTTTGTGTCTAAAATTATGTTTCGGAAAAAAATTAAACAGCCTCCTCGATTTTGGATGGTTCAGTATGACATACTGACTATATTGCCACAGACTATACAGTAATGCTATTCCTACAGACCTACACTGAGGCCCCGCTGTAAAACAGTCTGTCATAGCATCGGTGAAACATGGACCTATCCTGGACTTTACGTTATTCTTTTAAATTTACCCTTTCAGAACATATTTCCAGCGATTTTCAGGATGTGTGGAGCGCTGTTGAATTCTAGACACTCCACAGTGGACAAACATCCTGAGGAAGGGTCACTAGACCCGAAACATTAACTTTGTTTTTTTCCTTCACAGATGCTGCCAGACCTGCTGAGCTTTTCCAGCAACTTTGTTTTTGTTTCTGATTTACAGCATCCGCAGTTCTTTTGGTTTGTATCCTGCAGACAACACTTGTCCCTGTTGAGGTAGAGTTTAATGAATGTAAAGATGAGCTTCTCAGGTAATCTGTGCTGTCTCAGTGAACTCTGCTACCACCCTCTCCATTCAGAGTTTGAACGAAAAATGCATTACTGTGCTATCACGTGTTAGAATTCTACAGCTCGGACCATTTGCTTTGTAGCTTTACCATACATGCACAGTACTAAGCATAGGTCATCAATTGCTACGACGTCTGACCTGAATTTTTATTTAGACCCAAAGAACCAGAACATGATCACATTGGAATGATGGATCCTTGCCACAACTCATTTGGGTGAAAAGGTCCATTTGGTGGATTTGCTGCATCTTTCCGGGAACTACAGGGCCTGGTTGGTCCCATGTGGTAGAGGAAAGGTTCTTGCCTTAAAGAAGGTGTGGTTTCTTGCACCATAGCAACTAAGTATGAGTAATGTTGGTATGATAGACATTGTTATTGAAACCAAGAAGGAAACTTCAATGCTCAGTTTTAATCCTTCAAGATCCAAAACTTTCTCTCTGCCCAATTCCATATAATATTATCTCAATGATTGGTGCTTCATGCAATCCCCAGCATTACCCTTTCAGGCCCTCACTCTCAGAAACATCACCTCCCAACAAGTGATTCAACCAAATTAAACTTCATTGCAAACCTGTACATTTCAGGTTACACTGATGAAATAGGAAATTAAATATGAAATGTAATATTCATAAGTTGTGTTCATTATTAACTGCTGTCACTGCAGCATTAATAATAAATTTCTGACTATAAAACACGTAGTTATATTTATGACCTGCCAATGAAATGACAGCTTCGTGGTCATTAATAGGGACTCAGGCAGTGTAATTTACCCTGTGTATTCGAGCACTGCATTTCTTTGTGAAAATATGAGCTGAAGCAAAGTTAGGGCCATCTGTAGTTGCACTGATACCCTTACTACAATCAATGCCAAGTCATATCTGCTGAATCATTGTTACTGAAGCTCAGGATATAAAATGTTGTCAGGAAATGAATATACATACCAGCATCCCCGTACATGCAAAGGCAGGCCAGCTGTATTTCAGAATAGAGGTCACATATATCTATGTTGTAGTTTCGCGTATTACATGCATGGTCCCATAACTTGCATTACTCCAGGGCCCTGGTTTAATTTGTTTGCACTCTCATCATCAAAAGATGTGCATTAATGATAATTAAAGATATATTAAATTAGCCTGAAAGTCCAGATTGTACATTTGTTTATTGTGAATGGTAATGTTTACTCCTTTACATAAATTTAAAACTCTGCAGTGCAAGTCACTGCACAGATTTATCACATATATCCATATTTTATACATCCACATCATTTGACTTGTGGGACTTTCTAACCATCCAGAGAGATTTTCAAATGCTCAACACCATCTGCCATGCTCTGTCAGAACAAAGAAATGACTCCGAACTTTCCAATTTTCCTTTCAATGTCATATCTCCATTTCAATTGCTTGTGTCACTTCCACTCATACACCACGCATTGTCCACAGCACAGTTGCCACCGTTTCCCAGAAGGACAGAATCCCTTCGCTATCCTGTGGTCAGAACTTGCTACCTGTGCTTCCAAGAACTGCCACCATTATTGCAACAGTTATTGGGACCAGTTACTCAGCCTTTCTGCAAACTAACATGAAAGCCTTTCTGAGACACTAGCCTACACTGCATCCAGGGACATAGAGGTTAGGTGGATTAGCCATGGAAAATTTGGAGTTACAGGGATTGGGTGGGATGGTCTTTGGAGGGCCAGTGTGGACTCAATGGGCCAAAGGGCCTGCTTCCACACTGTAGAGATTTAATGACATCAGAGGGTGGATACAAGGTCTTAATATGTCCTTATTCCTGTTCTTACATGTTTTGAGTGGGGAGAAGGGTAGGTCTGGTGTTAAGATCAGAGAAGTTTATGAATTGTTCCCTCTTCAAAGATGAAAGATGAAAGGCAGAAAGAACAAAGCCCTGATGATCTTGGAAGCTCAATCATTGAGCAGGAAATCAATAAGTTCCTGATAACTAATGATATCGAGGAACATGAATAATGCAGGGAAATTGCATCGAGGAGATACATCAGCCATGATCTAGAATTGCAGGACAGGCTGGATGGACGGAATGGCCTACTCCCATTCCTATGTTCCTACGATTACTCCTATGGTCCAGTTCTGGCCAGTATCACTAAGCCCATGGATACCTATATACCCCATGTACCATCTCATCCAAAGAGCCTATTTCAGTGAGGTTGTTGACTTGTTCACCAAGCTGGTAGGTTGGTTTGCAGATGTCTCGTCACCCTGCTAGGTAACATCATCAGGTTACACGAGCACTAACTAGCTACCAAGAGACATGACCGACTATCACTCATTTCCATACATTCTGACAAAGAAGGCCACCAATTCGACTGGGACAACATAACCATCCTAGGACAAGCCAACCAAAGACATGTACAGGATCTCCTAGATGTCTGGCACTCAATCTGGAACTCCATATACCAATCACGACGAAGCAGAACCGGAAATGAGGCCACCCATCACATCAGACCAGACCCACATAATTAACAAGAGGGACAGACCAACAACTTTTCATCGGAAGTGCATTGATGATGTTACCTAGTATGGTGACGAAACATCTGCAAACCAACCCTACGGGCTCAGCAAACAACTCAACAACCTCATCCACAACCTGAGCTACAAGTGTTTTTGAAAGCTTTCAGCCTATTTCAATGCAACAGACTGATTGACATGTGAGTAGGGTGTCTGAGCCATAGAAACAAGTTGCTTAATTGTAAAAATTGTGAAGAAACCCAAAGGTAACTCTAAAACATGTTTACAGTGAAAAAGTGCTCAGTCTGAGGAGTGTTGGCTCGGTAAATAGTTACCAATTGTACCTCAGTCTGGATAATAGATCCACCTTCACAAGACAAGCCAACAGTGTACAGGATGCTTAGTTTAAAGGGACTTAAAGAATAATTTGGGAGACCCACTATGCATTGTTTATGCATTAATATGCATCAACATAGTCACTCAAATCAACGCTTGAGGCACAAGCCTTGAATTTCTTACCCAGAGCTTGTGCTGTAACTTTGGCTGGTGATCAGTGGCCATCTTTTCCAATTCTGACAAGAGCGCGGACACCCCCTCCCCCCCAATAGATGTTCAAGGTCACAGGCATGTCCAAACTATTGCCCACAGTCATTGGAAGTCAACACATTAAATTTCAGTCCATAACAGGGACAAAAATATACGATCATGAGGCAGTTCGAACAGTAAACCCAACTGGTGTAATGTGCAGTAACTGTTAAAGGTAAGAACGGCAGTCTCCAGGACTCATCAGACAAACCAATCAAATACCATCACTCCCATCCAGGTCGAATGGGAGGCTTATAGGTACTGCGGATTTTAAAGCATTCAAGTGCAGTTCTCTATTTCAAAGGGAATGGAATATCAAAACAGACGGAACATGTTAAAATTATGCAAGTCAGCCCACCAAAGGAATATTGTAGAAGGGTTTTGGTCCTTTTACCAAAGGAAAGAAATATTTGCATTGGAGGTAATCCAGAGGAGGCCCACTCGGTTGATCGGGAGCATGAGCAGAGATTGTGTCTGTGCTCCCAGAGGTTCAGAAGAAAGGAAGGAGGCCTCATCAAAACATGTAAGACTCTTAAGGGACTTGAAAATGTAGATGTGCAGAGGCAGTTTTCCCTTGTGGGAGAGTCTAGGACCAGACAGCATAATCTCAGAATATGGAGTCATACATTTAAAACAAAGGCAAGGAGGAATTTCTTCTCTCAGGGAGTAATGAATCTGTGGAATTCTTTACCTTAGAGGGCTGTTGAAGCTGGATTTTTAAGCATATTCAAGGTTGAGATAGACAGATCTTTTAATCAGGGAGGAATCAAGGGTTGTTGGGGAGAAGACAGGAAAGTGGAGTTGAGGATTATCAGATCAGCCATGACCCCTTTGAATGACCGAGCAGAGTCGACGGGCTGAATGGCCTATCTGCTCCTACATCTTCTGTGTCTTATGGGATTCCTAAAATTTTTTGCAATTAATGTTTCAAATTTTGTTTCAACAACTTAAAAGATAAATTTTACGATCTACACTCTATATATGAGATTGACATGCCAGAAGATCTCAATAAAACTATTTGGAAATTATGGGAAAGCGCAAAAGTCCATGTTTTTCCATTGACAAGGAGCAGATTAAGATCTTCCTCCAGAGCTCCACAGTGCCCGGATGGCATTACCTTTACATCCCCTACAGTGTCCGGATGGCATTACCTTTACATCCCCCACAGTGCCCGGATGGCATTACCTTTACATCCCCCACAGTGCCTGGATGGCATTACCTTTACATGCCCCACAGTGCCTGGATGGCATTACCTTTACATGCCCCAGCAGCTCCAAGGTGGTAGATGGCTGCCAGTACATGCCAAATGGCCATTTGCTCTTGTGCTGTGAATCCCAGTGTCTCCATCGCTGCCTGTAGTCTGCTGAACGCCGACGATGCTCTCTGCCTCTCTTCTCCCTGAGACATAAGAAAGTGAACATCGTCTTCATCATCGTTTGATACCAGATACAGGGTAAAGAATGGTCTACATTCTCCTCGTCAAATGTGAATAGACATGAATAATAGAAAAGCACTTTTTGGTACAATCTCCACATTCATTAATTTCCATGCTTTTATTCAGAAAGGGAATCAAGGGGCAAAGACAGCAAAGTGGAAATGAAGATTATCAGATCAGCCTTGACATCATTGAATGGTGCAGCAGACTTAATGGGCTGAATGGCCTACTTCTGCCCGTTTGCCTTATGGTCTTCCATATGTCTATAATTGATAAATCCACCTACAGAGGGACAAGGAGCTCCTTTGCTTCAATGTGTTGAGTTATCATAAAAGACAAGATGAAAAATGTGTCACAAACAATGCCAAGTTCCATTTTGTAGTTGGTTCTCAAAGCCAATTGGACTGCAGTTGAAGAGCCAAGGCACACAGAACAACATTAATATTTGAACAGGGGAGTGAGCAATGAAATAAATCAAGGAGGAAATAAAGGTTTGATCTGCCTTTACTGATACAAACTCTTTGTTGATCAGCCCTCATGGGTGAGGCTGCCATGAGGTTTGGGACCCACATTGCTATACTTCACCAGAGAGATACTGTTCCTTTAGAATGTATCATCTTCCACTCTTAGTGTGCTACATCCAGGTGTCTCCCTTACCCAAGAATGACTTTTGTCCGACTCTCAGAAAACTCGTTTATTTACAGACTATTCTTATACAATGCACTGGGTCTCTGCAATACAGAGACAACAAGGTGTAAAGCTGAATGAACACAGCAGGCCAAGCAGCATCAGAGGAGCAGGAAAGCTGACGTTTCAGGTCTAGACCCTTCTTCTAGGCCCCCAGTATGCCACCCAGAAAGGATGCATAGACTGATTGCTGAGGCTGAAAGTAGACTTGCAACCACAAGACATTGGGTTCCCTCTGGACTTAGCATCTGAGCTGCAGCAACCACAGACAATGGATACCTGCATTTGTTGTTATCTTGCTAAAGGGTTTCTCTCTTGACGAGACCCATAATGCTCGTCAATATGAAAGTCGAGGATGTTAAAAATTCAGTTGGACCGATGAAACTCCTTTTGCTGCTTTTTTTTAAATGATATTTGCCTGTAAATTGCCTACACAACATTAATTCAGCCAACATGATGAGTGTAGATTCAGTAGCATTCAAGAAACCATCCAGGGCAAAGCAACCCCATGTACAACCCCAAAGCAATCAATCAAACACCTCCAACATTCCCTTCCGTTACTATTGATGCACAGCATTCCCCATCTGTTTGCTGCACTCTCACAACACTTCTTCAACAGTACTCTCCAAACTTACAACGCTACCCCTACAAAACACAAGGGCAGCAGGTACATGGAAACACCGTAACCTGCAGGTTCCTCTCCCAGCCATTCACCATCCTGTGCGGGAAATCTATCACTGTTCCTTCACCATCACTGCATCAACATCCTAGAATTCTCTCCCTCACAGCTTTGTGGGTGTAACGCACAGCCCAATAGCTGTAGCAGGTAAACAAGATGGCTCGGTATCATCTTCCCCTGAGTAATTAGGGACAGGCAGGTCCCTACATAAATACCGGTCTTGCCAATGACTACAGCTGTTTAAGAAGCCACCAGTTAGGGGATGGGCAATAAATGGAGGTTTTGCCAGTGGCGAACGTAACGTGTGAAAGATTAAAACAAATGTCAAGACGTGTCAACACTGACAATATTATAGGATGAATACATCATTCCTCCCTCAATAAATTAGACAAACATCTTGTTCCCCACAAATTCCTTTTGAATATCTTCAATGAATATTTTGAATGGGTCATCATGAGGATCATTTGAAATGTGCCCATCTAAAGTATTAATAAGAGATGAAAGTTAAAAGGGCAAGATCAAAATTGCAACATAAAATAAGTGGGGGTCATAGGAACTTTTGATCCTGAAATGCCTTCCTGTGTGCCTGGAAGGTTTCCTGACTGTGGCCCTTACTTCATGCTGCCTGGTACCAGTGTTACATACCTCTGCCTGAACCATTACACGGTCGCTGGTACAAGTCTACCAAAGGCATCAGAAGAACCCACCTTCCGCTGCTCCCTCTGAGCCACAATGCAGCCCTTAGCTTCACTTACCTTTGCCAATGGTAAAATTCCAAATATATGGCTGTCTGCCATTTGGTGCAAATGTAGCTCAGTCCTGTTAAAAAAAAACACAACGCACAATCATTGATGGGGTTACTGCCCACAGAACCAGGGCATCAATGCCAGTCATCCTGCCACACCAGTAGGTCAGTCTAATGAATGATAAGCTCACTCAGTCACTTGGTTGCCCAACTTCACTTCCATCTACTGGAGTAGATCAACCATCTACTGGTGCAGGAGGTGGAAGAGCAATAACATCAGCCTGCATTTAATTAGCGTCTTCAACATGGTAAAGCACATCTGCAATTTGTTGCGCAGGAGCATTACGAAGCATTATTTTCCACCAAGTCACATAAAGTGACCTTAGGGCAGGTGTCACAAAGTCATGGAATTGTAATGGTGCAGACAGAGGCCATTTGGCCCATCTTCAAAAGGGCGTCATTACCCAGGGCCAATCTCCTGCTTTCTCCCCACACTCCTGCACACTATTTCTATCTGAACGACCATCCAATGTCCACTTGAATGTTCCAGTTGAATCTCCCTCCCCACACTTCCAGGCAGTGCATTCCAGACCCTAACTATACACCGTGCGATAAACAATTTTTTCTCATGTCACCCTGGCTTTGTTCATACATCACATTAAGTCTGTGCCCCAGTGCCCTTGTTCCTTTTACCAGCAAGAACAGCTTCTCCCTATCTGCTCTCTTCAGTCCTCTCATAATGTTGAAAAACCTGTCAAGATGATAGGAATGTCTTTGAGGAAGAAAGAGAGGTGGAGATGTTTAGGAAGGGAAGCTCATGCAGCTGTAGGCATGGTTGCCAGTGGTGGAGCAAAAGGCCAGAGATCACCCAGAGTTGTTGGGCTGGAAGAGATTACGGAGATAAGGAGGGGTGAGGCCAGAGAGGGACTTGAAAACGAGAATAAGAATTTTAAAATCCAGGCATGGATTGACCAGAAGCCAACATAGATGAATGACTACAAGGAATGACAGGTGAATTGGATCTGGTGTGAAACAACAACAACAGGTAGTAGAGTTTATGATGGCCTCAAGTCAAGTGGCAGGGTGGATCACCTCAGAGGGTAGAAGAGTCAGCAACAGTTCTGGAAACACAGAAAGGTCAGATGGCTGATCACTTTCCTGAAGGATATTACTGTGCCAGCTGGATTTTTACAACAAACCAATTCTTTGGTGACCACCCTTAAATAATTCTAATGCTTTATTTCAGATCGACTGAATCCAAGCTGGGAATTCAACTCATATTTGCAGAGTCTCTATGCCTAATCTTGTAGCATATTTGCTTTGTATTATGTTTGGGAACCTGAAAGTTCCTTTCAAGCCAGGATGCCATCGCAACTTGGAACCATATCAGCATTCCTTTACTGTTTCAGCCCAGAACTCCCTCTTTGAGATGGAAAAAAATAATTGGAAATGAATGTACTGGAGGCCCATTTTGAAATAAGCAAATGCCATTCACAATTTTTTTCTGGTTTCTCACAGCTCAAACGGCGCCATGTTTCCAGAAAGCAGCTGACTACCACCCCTTCATGGATGATTAAAGATGGGCAGTCATTGCTGACCTTCCCAGCTACACCTAGATCCCTTGAGCAGACATACAAAAGAAGCTTGTGGAGGGAAGAATGTGACAGGCTGGGCAGCAGGGCACTGGAATAGTCAACAGGTAACGGGGCACTATATGAGGGTTACAGCAGCTGATGAGCTGGCACAGGACGGGGCTGGGTGGCATTACAGATGTGGCCCTTAGTAACTTACAATTAAGTGGTGAGTAGCCTCTAATGGAGTCAAAAACATTGTGAAAGTTATGACTTGGCCTCAGACATAAGCAGGGAGACCAAGTATTGCACCTTGAATCATTTGGGGGGAGGGGCATCTGTTGAGCGAGTTGGTAACTGGGGAGGGGTAGGGAGGGGCTGTAAACCACACGGTGGGACCTGGGTGTGGGACATGGGCACTAGGAGTGACACCAAACATCTGCATTAGGGACTGACAACAGGGACAACACATTGAAGGGATTTGGTCGCAACATTCTGTGTGTGTGTGTTTAAACAAAGAGTCGTGTTTCGAAATAATTTTGATCGGTGTGTGATTAAATAAAGAGAAAGGTATAGAAATAACTCTATGTAAGCATAACACCAACACAAAGCAGCAAGTCTCCACCTCAGCCTGTTGTATTCCTCATTAAGTTCATGGCAAGAACGGTAGTTTTTATTTCAGACAGAGCTGCCTCATACTGCTACCTTGTGGTCTATCACTGCACAATCCTGTCTCTCCATTTTAGAATATCAGCAATATCCATGGTTCAATCTCAATTTTACTCTCAAAATACGAACAAATATGAACCAACAAACGACTGCAGTGGAAACACAACTGAAGATTTTAGTAAACTGATGTTGCTCCTTTCATGTCCCGAGGAAATCCCCAAAGCGTTTTATACTCATTGGTGTCGTCATGTAGGAAATATTGTATTTGAGGGGATGGATATGAAAGGGTTAATCTATGGGCCAAACTGAAGCTCTACCCATTCTCTGGTAAATGGAGTATTAGGCTTCAGGCAGTTGAATCACAGAATCCCTACAGTGTGGAAACAGGCCATCGGCCCAACAAGTCCACACTGCCCCTCCGAAGAACATCCCACCCAGACCCATTCCCCTATCCCTGCATTTCCCATATCTAACCCACCTAACCTAAACATCCCTGGGCACTATGAGTAATTTAGCATGGCCAATCCACCTAGCCTGCACATCTTTGGACTATGGGAGGAAACCAGAGCACCCGGAGGAAACCCACACAGACACGGGGAGAACGTGCAAACTCCACACAGACAGTCGCCCGAGGGTGGAATCGAACCCGGGTCCCTGGTGCTGTGAGGCAGCAGTGTGAGGCAGCTAACTGCTAACCACTGAGCCACTGAGCCATTGTGCCACCCCTCAAGAAGCTGTGTTTGGAGCAGGTAGCTGTTGAACTGCAAGGAGATAAATGTGGCATCTCAATCTCTGTTTAGCAATAGGCAATCTGCCTGAGAGCTAGTGTAACACATATATACAGTTGCTGAGCTGTCATTAAACTGACCTGGTACATAAGATAACAGCCTCTTCTACAGAGACTTATCATGGTCCATCTCCACCACAGACCACTGAACAGCCCCTTAGACTATCAGGGTGACAACCTTGCTGTGTTGCAGAAGGAGGCCATTTGGCCCATTCTGTCTGTACTGGATGGAAGATTTGTGATTGGTTCTGAAGCCTCACAGCAGAATATAACAAGAAACCAATTTGCGCACAGCCTAGTTCTGAACTCAGATCTTCTCAGATCTCAGTAAGGGTCAGTATACTATTTGCCTTCTTGAAAGCAATAATGTTTGCTCATGTCTTTCTTGTTGTGCTGTCAGTTTTTGACAACTTCAGTTGTGCATGACCATAACTGTATAAACATGACCATAACTATATAAACACGGCGATACCTGTATAAACACGGCGATACCTGTATAAACA